AATTTCTGGAAATTAATGAAATGTCTCATCCATGCATTGGTTGATCTTTGTCATATCAATGTTGAATGCACATGATATCGTAGGACTTCACTATATTATTGATTGACCGAGGTCAGTTAAGTGTGTTCTGGAAGAAGAAAAATCTCATTCTCTATTTTAAAGATGCAATGATCTTATTTCATTCTTATTACCTTATCTTGAATTTTTATTTTAGAATTTTTTTTCATCCATTCTTGAAACTTTTTAATTTAATTTTTTTTTTAAATTATATAATTTTCAAATTTGAAAAATTGTAAATCAATTTTTTAAATGCAAGACATTATTAAATTCAGAATAATCTGAGTAGGGTAAATTAAAATACCTTAAATCCTAAATTAATGTATCTTAATTCATAGATAAATTCTAATTAGTAAAGAGGGTTCCAAAAATTGAATTTTGATTGTTAAATAAAATGACATTCAAATTAAAAGGATGGAAGTAGTTTTATTTTTATTCCATTGTCCCAAAAATTACAATTATGACCAAGAAACGAAACCATACATAAGTCTTTTAGAAAATTCAAGTACTAAGTCACTCATTGAATAAAAATGAGAAAGTTGAGTAATATATAAAGAAAAAAGACCTATAATATAATACCTTAAGATTTTAGGTTGAAGGTGATGTCAATTCCTTATATAGGTTGAAATCATGTTTCATTATTATTGTCTAAATCCAACTCAAAAGACCTAACAATAAGTAATATAATTTAATATTATATTTTAGCACATTTTCATGAATTATCGGATGTGACTTCATGTTTAAATTTAATATTTTTGTTTCTTTTGTTTCAATTTCCTAAATATGCTTTTGGATGAAAATTGATAGAAGGTAATTTTTATAATGGATTTGAATTGTTTTATAATAAAAGTGGTTGTTTGAATATAAAAATTGAAAAGTAAAGGAAATTTTAAAAATTGATGAGGGTAATTTGATCACTTAAAATAAGATAATGTCAAATTTCTCGTAAAAAAAAATGAATTTGAAACTCTTCATTTTTTTTCTTTCTTAAATTTATGTCTTTTCTCTTTATATTTTTTCTTTGACCCAAACTTAATCGACACATTTTTAATTCATCTTGACTCGTTTGAACATGGTTCAACTTAGTTCAACTCAGATAAGTATGACCTAATTTGACCTAACCCGATCCATCTTGACTTGACTCAAACCAACCCAATATGTTCTAACAATTTGATTACTTAGAATAAGAGAATTTCATATTTTGGCTAAAAAGTAAGAATTTAAAATTCTCCATTTTTTTTCTTTCTCAAGTTTGTTTTTATCTTTATATTTTCTCCTTGACTCAATCTTGATAGAGATGTTTTTGACTCGTTTCAACGCGAGTCGACCTAGATAAGTATGACATAATTTAACTTAGTTTGATCTATCTTAAGTTGATTTGAACTAACCTGATAAGTTCTAACCATGTTTGAACTATCCTTACTTCATAACTCTCAATTTGGTTCATATTGTATTGACTTGACCAAACTTATCTCAACCAGGTTCAACTCATCTTGACCTAATCTGTCTTAACTCGATCTAACTCTTTCTGATCATATTCGACTTAACTACCCAAAGTAGACATCACTCACCCCAACCCAACCTATCTCAAACTGATTCATCTTGACCTGACCCCTCCCAACCCGACATATATTATCATAACCTAATTCAACCTATCTCATCTTTGTATGTTTTATTCAGTTATGACCCACCTGACTCATTTTGACTTAACTCAACTTGACATGATCTGATTCATGTTAACCCAACCTAACATCTTAACATAGTCCAACACAACTTAACTCATTTTAAATTGTTAGTCTAACTCAATCCAACTTGACTCAACCTTCGTGACACAATATAATTTGTCTTGACCACACCTTACCTTACCAATCTGGTTTGTCCCAATATGATTTGAGTCATTCTAGCTTGTCTATGTTCTTCTTAATCCAACCTAACCCATGTGGGTAAGGGTCAAGTTCTATGAGTTGGATATAATTCTCAAATCTAATAATGATAATTTTTATGTTTGATAATAATAGAAATAATTTATCAAACAAGAAAATTTAAATTTAATAAATTTGATTGACATATTCACCTCTAAATAGGTCGACATATTCATAACATCATTCACCATGTTTTTTAAGCAAATTCATTTAAATAAGAGGTCGTGACTCTTCACACATACTTAACAATGCAACAACAATATGATAACTACAATATCTTCAACCTTGACATCAATCATATAAAGTACATATAGACGAAACAAAATATAAAATTAGTCTAATATCATAATTGATTTGGTAACTAGCAAATGTTTCAATTGTCTCTCACTTAACTTTTAAGTAGATGAACTATCATGTCGACAATGTAATGCGTCAACATACTCAAAATAAGATGATTCATGCCTAATTAATCTTGCAAAATTATTAATACTTCCTTTTATGCATTTTCTATTTTGACCTTGTCCATAGGTGCAAATAGTGATGCTTAATTTGGGAATGCAATTTCACCAAGCTTATTTTTATGTTAAACTTCTCATTAATGTCAACCTTTTTAAAGTGCTTCAAGATGACATTAAATTCTTGTAAAATAAACAATATTATAAATGAATTGTCAACAAGATATAAAAAAAACCTTAATGGATCCCATATAACATACACCAAAGATAGGGGTATATTACTAACACCATATGAACCTAATTTACAAGCATAAAAAAGACTATAAGTAGATATAAGTTTGTGTCCAAAACATCGACTATCAATCCCAACATACCTTAGTATATGTACTCTTCTATAATATATATACTCTTCTACAATATGACTTATGCATATTACAACAATTATGTAATCTTTTTAGACAACATGCACCTTTATTGGATACATTAACATTTTACATTTTGCTTTAACATTTTTTTATACTGAAAGCAATATAAAAAGTTGGATTATTCACAAAATGCATTACATTCTTTAAGGCTAGAATACTTGAGAGAATGAATCAACATTCAAAAATATTTTTCTAAGTCTTTCAAAAGTTACATAATAAGACAAATACAATATAAAACATCATCTCAATGGATATTACACTAACAATCTTTACTAAGAGTGTCATATACATGGTAGTTATGTATATGCTATCCATAATCAATAATATGTTAAACAATTCAATAAACTTTAGACTTCATCAAACTTTTTCTTATATCAACATATATGAAGGTTTTTATTACATATTAATTTACCAACATATGGATGAACTACCAACATATCGAACAAGTCATGACTAGCACAAACTAATCTCATAATTCATCTTTCACTATTATTTATGGATTTTATAGTAATTTAAGAAAATATTTACATTTCCTACTTTCACTAATAGTTGTTTGCAAATCTTTCTTGTATCATTTATATTTATCATCTCTTTTAAAACCTAACAAAAAAAATATATTCCTCACTTATTATTTATTTGTTGTATATTTTACCTTAATATTACATTCACAAATCCAAAAGAAAATCTCTCAAATCGATTTTAAAAAATCATCATCGTTCATGAACAACCAGAACCATATATTACAAAATCACTATATATGTCCTTTTGAGGTTACGAAAATATTTATACAAGAGTAAAGTTCACCTTATCTATTGTGAAGACATTAATATAATCCAGTTGATATATTCCTTCTTTCCTAATCATATGATTCCCTATATCAATATTATTCATACGAAAAAAATTATGTCAATTTCATCTAATATATTTATATAAAACTTTTCATCCTTTGAAAGTGCATACGAACTCGTTTTACAAGATATAGAATATAGAATTTTAGAATATACAATCTAAAAATTTATTTGAATATTTTTAATTAGGTGATTTAAAATACATTTTATTACTTTTAGATAGACAAATAATTTTTTGGATTATTCGATCCAAACATATTTGAATAACACAATCGAAAATTATTAGATTACCCAAACTATAAGCTTCCGGATAACACAATTCCAAATTACTACTTTCTACATTACCAATAATACAAATCAAAATATGTCCTGTCCATACATTATTACAAACAACCCATTAATCCAAATACTATGTTTCTAGATCGTATTAATTCATAAATAACTCGCCAACCCATTAATTACCATTTAACATTGTTTTGATTTTCACAATACTTACCTTTCTCTTACCCGACATCAACCACCACGAAACCACTGTAACAACCCACAGATTTGCAATGGAAGGCTGAAGCAATGAACGAGACAATAAGTGCCTTATGTTATCAAAACTACAATAGACACAAATATAAGTTCAGTACCAAATAGTTCTTTTTTTTTTTTTTTCGAATTCTTGGTTGGGGTATAGCTAGAAAACATGGAGGTACAGGAAGAAAGTGCCCTTTATATGTTGCAGAGGAAATAAATGAAATATGTAGTTTCATTTAATTTTTTATCCCTCTTAGAATAGTTGTTAACCTAATCATACGTCCCGTAGCAGCAGCCTCCTAGCAGCATGTGAGCTGGGTTCTAACTGGTTTAGTTGTATGCAATTTTGCGTTGTAAATTAAAACTCTACTTTTATTAAAATGATAATCATCAAGAATATATGGGAAATGAAGAAAAGTGGATGCTATCAAATAAATTTTGCTTGTATTTTGAATTGAGCCATTCACACAGCCATTTTGTGCTTTAGGTAGGATATAAATACTACAGAATGTTTTCCTCCCAATTTAACTGGTCGCTAGTAAGAATTAGCCAAGACGAGATAATTGAAAATAAGTTTACCTACAACAACTAAAAAAAAGAAAAAAAGTTTATCGGATACAACTTTAATATTCAAAAGTAATGCATAACAATAGCCTGCACGAAAAAAGTCCAGAGGTAGAAGTTATATCTTAAAATCCAACCTTGTATAACTGTACAAACAAACAAAGAAATGTACAGTGAGCACGGCAAAGGCTAGATGATAGTACATTATTATTCAGTGTCTTCCTCCTCATCTTCAACATTCCCTACATCATCTCCAACACCTTCAAGCAGTTTGTCAACATCCTCCCCTAGCTCTAGCAATCTAGCACTAAGTTTATCCACCTTACTCTGCTCTTGCCCTAGGCATACAAGCAGATCATTTAGTTCACTTTCATTTTCCTTCTGAGCTTCTTCCCTTGCTTCAGATTTTATTGCATCCACATCTAGGAATGTTGACGGTCCTCCATTCTTCATTGAATGCACCTGCTTCTCCAGTTCTATGTTAGATTGCTCAAGACTATTGTAGGCATCGGAAAGACTCCTTAGATCGGCTTCCATCTTTTCAGCTAAACTCCGGTACTTCCTTGTGTCAGACTCAGCTTCTGCCTTTTCTGCTTTCAGTATCTCCAATCTTTTAGTTGCTTCTTGTAGATCCCTACTAAGTGCATTTATTTGGACTTTATCTGAGCTCTCACTTACTCTCTGCTCTAATTGAAAATTACCACCCCCACCTTTCGTAGCCAGGTCTTCTGCCAAAGTAGCATTCCGCGAAAGGAGGTCCTGAAATGATAAAAGGAACGAAGAATAAAATATGTGCTAACATGTTTCTATTCTCATATAAGTAGTTTTTTGCCACCCTCCTGGCATGTACAAATTACAAGTCATATGAGGCGAATGAAAATCCACCATGAATTATACACTCATTGTGTATTCATACACACGATATTTAGTCCAATGTCCTTGTTTTCTATTTTAATATGATATTAGAGTCAAACAAAAACATCCTATGTGGTCTTGTCCAATGTCATTGGTTTTCTATTTTAATGATACCAAAACTAAAAAAAAATATAAGAATTCTTTGATATTAATTCTGAACAAGAATAGGAAAGATATAAACATTTATATTTTTATTTTATTTATAAAATAACAATAATGTTATAATAATGATATGTAATACTTGTTTAAATATTTTTTAATTCTGTAAAATTAGTCTAGTTTTAACTTTGATCTTATAACATTTTTAAAAGAAATTAGTTTTTATAATTTTTTTAAAATTAATCTTTATAAAAATTTAAAACCTCCTATAAATTTACTATCATTTTAAGTTAAAATATTATCTTATATTTAATTATAATAAGTAAATTATCTTTAATTTGTCAAGTGATATAAATAAAAAAATTATAAAAATATTGGTGCTTATACAAACTATCCATTGTAGCAAAACTTCTAAAAGTTTAGTCTAAGTTATTTAAAAGTGATGTTGCATAACAAGTCCCATTTAAAGTGAAAATATGTTGTTTACAAGAACTAGCACAGGAGATGCTCTAAGGGAAGCATTTATCTCATTGTCATTACGGTGAACAAAATGAAATTACCAACCTCGAGCAAAACCTCTCTTGCCATTTACAAACTAAAAGACCTTGGAAAGCTTCATATTTTCCTAGCTCTAGAAGTTGGTAATCTCCCAGGGTTAGTATGATATTAACAAGCTAGAAGAAACTGCCTAGGAAATGCTAAATTAGTGAATAATGCCATGGATATAATGTCAAATTACTACCCAATTAAGGATAGCCCTTCGCGGATTCTAGGATGTTGATTGGTAGACTAAATTATAGTCACTCATCTAGATGTTTTCTCTATTGCAAGCATGGTGCCAATTCTTGAACTCTGCATGCCAAGGCCAATGGGATGCAACAATTCAGATATTAAAATACATTAAGAGTGCTCCAGTATATAGTGAATTGATTGGAGAAAATTTAGTATCTAGGAAAAGTTTGTGGATTGTTCAGTTTGTGGATCATCCAATTTATCATTGTCTAATCACATTCTACGAGTTTCGTCTACTACTTCCTGCTACATATTATACACTTGTTCAGTATTTTGACAATTTTATCCAGTCCATATTCTGTTTGTTAGAGTTATTTACTGTGTGTATGTCATGTTTATATAAAGGAAGTAGTTTTCTTTTGTAAAGCAAGAGGAGTGTACACTAGAGTGATACAGCTCATTGTATGTTTTCTTGTTTGTAAACACTGTTCATAATGTTAACCTTTGGATATAGATTAGAGATCGTTAATTTTCTAATTGAACCACATACTTGTGCGTAGTAATTCTTTTGTTCTTATTTTCGTTTGTGTTCTTGAGTTTCTTTGGTAATTTCTACAGGCTATTTCAACAACAAATTGATGTGGTGAACATTGACATTTAACTATGACTTTTGTGATGTATGAGGTAAAGAAATTCACTAGAAGTAATGATTTTTTATGGTAGTGATTAAGGGTGAAAAGGGAATGATTAAAGTTTTGAGGGAATCCATAGTTGTGACGAAGGATGTGAAGAGGATGGGTTTGTACTCCTTGACAAGTTTTGGAGTAATAGGTATAGTATCTACTATTGTCCAATGTAATATCATCTAGTACCATAAGGACAATATCAACCAATATTGTCTAAGGTCCAATTGTGGCATAGAAGATTAGGTCAAGTGAGCGAGAAAGGCCTGGTTGAGCTACAAAAGCAAGGATTGCTTGCCAATGATCAAATTAAGTTGCAAATTTGTGAAATTATGTCCATAAAAAAGCCTATAAGGTCAACGTCAGTATAGAACAATAAAGAACAAAATAAACTCTAGATTACATTCATGTTGATCTTTGAGGACCATCTTGTTACCCCTCACATTCTAGTGTAGGGTACTTGTGAGGTCTACTCTCAAAAGAGCAAGGATGAAATTTTTAAGAGTATCATGAGTTGGAAGCGTATGGTGGAGAACCAAACTAGTAAGACATTGAAGAGGCTGTCTTGAATTCCTCTTAGCATTGTTTAATTACTTTTGTAAGGAGAATGGTGTATAGCATGTCACAAAATGTACAACACCTCAACAAAATGCTAGAAAGATTTTTTCTTAGGAAGTGGACCTTAAATCTAACTCAACATCGCAAAATAGGTTCGTAAGATGAAGTTTTCAATCACTTATATGCTATAATTTGATCATATTTCTAGTTGATATAGGATCTTCAACATATTCCCTCACATCAAGGACTAGACATCTCAACTGTAGAATTAGATATTTATGGGTGGTCGGATAACGACCGATAAAGGGTGACACAAGACCCAACAAACCTTGTTAGGATAGTAGACTTTGATACCAATTGTTAGATAGAATACATACCATAAGGTCAAAAGTTGTTACCTAAGACTCTCTTTGATTTGATCTATGTGGATGACATCCTGATGTGTCTGATTTTAGATGGATGAAGGTTGAACTTTGCAAAGAGTTTGTGGTGAAAGATTTGCGAACAACTAAAAAGATATTGAGATCATGAGAAGCCGAGAAAGAAGGACTCTGTGAATGTCTCAGGAGAAATACCTTACCAAAATCCTTGACAAGTTTGGTATGATATTGAAACCTATTATTACTTCTCTGGCAATCTTGGACAAGGACATTGGTTAACTCTTCAGTGGATCCTAAGATACATGAAGGGTTCGTATGACAAGTGTCTTGATTATGATGGAGATAGAAATGTCAAAACTACTCCAGTGGAAGGTTTTACACACGTAAATTATGCCAAAAGTCTAGATACCAAAAAATCACTGACAAACTATATTTTCACTATGTATGGTATAACTATTAGATGGAAAGACAATTTACATAAGGTTGTGGTATTGCCCACTACTAAGTTTGAGTATCTAGTCATGAAAAAAGTTGTGAAGGAAGATCTATGGATCAAAAATATTGCACAAGAGTTGACACTTTGTCACAATTCATTGTGATAATAGTAGTGCCACATAATTGTCTAATAACCAATTTTCTCATGAGTGGACAAAATACATTGATATCAAGTTGAACTTAGTGGGAGACAAGATTGCATGTGGATCTGTTAAGGTGGAGAAGATCTTTACAGATCATAATCTGTCAGTTATGATAAGTAGTAAGTTTCTTCATTATTTGGAAATGATTAAACTATGTCTATAATGGGCTTAAGGGTAGTTTTTTGGTGAAGCTTGTTTCAAAACAAAGTTGGAGATTTAATGATAATTTCTCTGTCATCAAACTTGAGGATCATCCAACCATTGTCTACCAGTTTTCGTTTATTACTTCCTGTTACATTTGATACATTCATCGATAGTGAATTTTGGGCTATTTCCACGACACCTATAATCTAGCATTTCATGAGAAAAGCCAAATATATTTACGTCAATTGCCATTTCATTAACGAGAAGATTGAGCAAAGAGATACTGCCACAAGCTTTGTCAACTCTAGTGACAAGGTGGCAGATATTTTCACTAAATCTAAAAGGAGATCAAGAATTGACTACAAATGCAACAAGCTTAGTTTATATGAATTATGTGTTAGATATTGTTAGATATAATGGGCTTAGGCTCATATCACTTAAGTATTTTCTTAATCTGTGTATTTTTCCTATATATAAAGAGATAACCCTATATGCTTAATACACATTAGGGTTTCAGTCTATGCTTCTCTTGTTTCAACAATATGTTCTAGCTTGAGGTGGAATGTTGAGAACTAAAATAGTAGATTTCGTTGATTATTATTGTCCTGTAATCTTAAAGTTAGAGGAAACGAAATATCCTTTATCCTTGTATAATAATAAATGTGATGAGTCTATAAAAACTCTTTCGTTTTGTATACATACACAGTATTCAGTCCAATGTTTTTGCGTTCTCTATTTTCACAAATAGTGTACCGATTACAGAAAATAAAGGCAATAGGAAAAAAAGGTAAACAACAGAACTTCAGAAGGGGGATGTACACAAAACAAAACAGCTGAGATTTGTTAAGGGTGGTTGATTACAGATTTACAAACACATTAAGTAGTGGCTACCTATGAGAGTCAAGGCCAAAAACAAAGAGAGGTGGTTGGTTACCCAAATGCTACAGAAAGATAGATACAAGAAAGACATGAGAAGCGGAACAGCCAAGAAAGATAAATTTTGCAGTGGTCTAAAGAGGTTTATTTTTTAAATAATTTAACAATCCAGCCAAACATGCTAAGGTACTCGAGCCATCAACAGTAAAGACATGGGATGAAGAGGGAAGATTAGACAGTTCTCTTCGTTAGCATTTAAACTCAGGCTACCAGCATAAGCCCATCTTCCATGTTTTATGCTATGGCAGCCACTTTTGTGGCAGGTTACATTCAAAAGAGAAATAATAATCATTATTCACTAATATAATAATGTACTATTATTGAATAATGGGTTGAAGTTTATTCATAACCGATTAAGGAACAATGAGAAACAACTATAGCTTGCTTTAACAAGCTGACAAAGAGACTGACATATCCTAACAAACACTTAAAAAGATTGTTCTTTTTATCATTATCACGAATATAGATTTTAAAACCCTACTCTAGAATTTCACTCCACGCAAATGATAATGCCCGTTAATAACAATCAAATTATCACATTAATTTTGAAGGTGGACTTTATTAATCTCAACCTGCAACTTAATAATTACAGTATGGTTGGTTTCCTAAATGAAACAGATTCAATACTGATCCTGCTAAAGATATTTTAAAAGGAGCAAGTAATTAGCTATACCTGTATTTCAGAGCATTGCTTCTCAAGGAAAGCTTTCAGCCGCTTTGTGTACTCAAGATCATTTTCACCAATCTTCTGCTCTAATTCTGCTGGTACTGCTGCCACCTTCATTTTTGGATGGCTAAATACCTCCACAATTTGTTCCCTGATATCTGACTCCAGTCCTTTGACAAGATTCACAAAATAAGAATCCAATATTGAAGACAGAATAGTATGGTTCATATTTTTCTGTTCAGACAGATCATTGATGTCGGAATCTGCAATATCTTCCATACTAGCTGCTGAAGATCTAGTGAATGATTTACGGTTCAGAGAAGACTCCAGATTGGCAAAAACTAAACTTTTCTGCATCTCTTCAATCTTTAAAAAGTACGAACCAAGCCCAATTTTTTTACTCGTCATATCAACAATGGCAAATGCATCCGTCGCACTATCAGTTAATTTATTATAGATGACACATTCACCCAAGACAACTGCTGCCAAACCCCTTACACACACTGTTTCTGACAAATTTGACACCAGCTCAAGAAGATATGTAATGTGGGGGTGAGCATCTAGGAAACAATGAACTGCATCAGGGCAATCAGCTAGCCATGTAATCAGTAATTTTAAGATATTTTCTTGAATATATGAGTTTCCTGAAGACCTAGACTTTCCATCTTTGCTTTTCATGGAAGAGGCAAGGGCCAAATATTTCACCATTCGATGCATTAGTGGCTCTGGAGATCCAATGGATGGGACGGGTGCCTCTATTTCAATTCGTAAGACCTGAAACTTTTCTCATCAAATTTCTATAAACACAACCATATTTCTTGTTTATCAATTCTTTAGTAATACTACCATTGCTTATCTATGTTGAAGGACCATATACAAATGAAGCATAAAATTATCAGAGTAGTTTGAGGTAAGACTAACGGCGCAAAAAAAAAGTTGTCAGCTGTATACATGAACAAAATATACTACACTGAACCCATAAAGTTGGCTTACAAAAGACGACCTAGAATAAGGCTAAAATATGTCTTTTGTAATTGCAAATACAGTTAAATTTCATTTTAGTTCTACATTTTTTTTAGCACTCGTAGATTTAAAATTATAGTATTCATGTCCACCACATATTTTTAAAATTATGACACATCAGCAACTATTCAGAGTTGTATGTGATATGATAGTTTTCCATATCCGCAACTATGTGATGTGATATGATAGTTGTATGTGATATGATAGTTGTATGTGATGTGATATGACACATCAGCAACTATTCAGAGTAATTAAGAGTATCTTAGATTATCTCTTATGATAGTTTTCCATATCCGTGTGCTTCATGATTTGTTTCCATTTTTAAGTAGGTTTAGGGGCGTAGTCTAGTATAAATAGAAGTCTTGGTCATAAAACGACTTTTATTATAGCTTTTATATCAAACATCTTGGTCATAAATCTAAAATGACCATGCCTCACCAATGAGAACTTCAGTAGCTATGGCAAAACTGTTAGTCTAGTAGATTAATGCAAAGAATATGATATAATGGGAATCATTTGCATACCCTTTCCTTGGAGTGAAGATTGTTTTTCAATACATGTGATAGAACACTGGCAGCCCTGCCACAAACCTACGTTTTCAACAAAATGTTAGCCTGATAGTTATCACACAATGATTAACCAAAAATCAGGAAAACGTATTATTATTGACTTCCATTGTACTATTACAAAGATCAAAGACCAAAGTTCAATAGCCAGGCTGCGAAATTTCAGTTGGAATTTGGCATGCAAAAATCAAAATTAATGTGGAATGTATATAAGCAAGGTATTACGAACCTCAAGATCACCATCGTTTTCACCCAAAGTAAGACCATGTAATAACATGCTGAAAGAGAAACAATTTACAATCTTAAAATAGGTTAAAGACATCAGAAAAAAAGCTGTGCTAGGATATGTGCATGAACAACGAATTGGTATATAAAATCTAGCATTAGCAACAAATTAGAAATATGTGCAGTTATTAAAGAATCAACAGCAAAACAAACCTTCCAAAAGACATATTGACATCCTCCTCAAGGGGTGCGTCATTCATGCAAAATGGTTGTGGAATTAGTGTAGATGCCAGCATTGATTGTCCATCAACATTTTTCTGAATTAAATTATACAAGAAACAAGGTGACAAAGAATGTTTACGAAGAAAAAAAAAAGTGTGTATTTACCAACCTCACAAAAGCTTTTAAAAACAAAATCAGCTGCAATGAACTCTTGCATACTAGAAGTCCTCAAAATGATTCTAAGTATAGAGTTCAGAGCAGGTTCAACTTGTGGCTCCTCTCCAAGAAATTTGCTAGAAAGAACATCACAATTCTTAGAATCTCCAGCAATCAGATCACCAATACACCTCAAAGCCTAACAAAGGATTAAGTTTAGAAACATGACTAAAGCACATTTTCATACTAGATGAATAGAAAAGAGTCTTGCAGGCTAACTAGTAATGCTAGAACCAACAAAACAATAACCGTCATTGAACAAAAAATTGAAACAGCAGTAATAATGGTGGTGCTCTTTTGAAATGTGTGAACATCAAAAGCACAGTAGTTGTGTATTGAACAATTGATCATTTCAAACATCAATTACACTCGAAAGGTTAATTAATTTATGGACAGGAAGAAAATATCTCTTGGACAAAATGTTACAAAAAGTTCTGTAAGACCAACTAGTGTCATCCAAAAGCAAGGATTGTGCTTTCCATTTACTTATGATAACATCAGAGTAGTGATGTTTGGCACCAAGCATGAATAGAGCCTTCATATGATATTCTGCTAAGAAAGATAGTTTAACTTCGGTTTAGCATACAATACCAACAACTTTGGCTAAGTTTGGAAATTACTTGTGCAAATTTAAGGCACCAAATGAAGAAGGAAAAAATTGTTGCTCCCAGAGTAAAAGTACTCTTGGGATCATGCAACTTTAATCAAAACATGCACTATCTTGCCAAATACTATCAATACTTGGGTGTGTGCATGCAAAATATGTGCAATAAAATCAAATTGTAAACAGTTTCATCAACAATATGGAAAGAAATGGAATCAGGAAGGGTGACGACAACAATAATCTACTAACACTATATTTGAGTTTAGGCAAAAATATGTTCAACTTGTTCGGATACATTAAGATCAGCAAAAAGAAAGTAACAAGCTATTCTGCCAATATTGGGGAGGGGGGAAGGGAAGGAGTTATGAGCAAAACAATTTATTGAGTCATGCAATTGTACTTGTGTGGAGAAATAGGAAGGCAATCTTACCGCACAGCGAACAGCAACAGGTGCCCATTGGCTTTCAACACTTATCATTAATAAATGATCCAATACCTTTTTCTACAACCAATTCCAAATGAATGGCAAAATAAGATCAGCAAATTGATATTTTATACAATCATCGTGAAAGACAAAGTTCTTGACAAACCTGAATCAGAGTTTTCTTGTTTGTCTGTTTATTCAGATCTTTCCCAGGATCAGTATCCGAACCTCCCTTTATTAACAAATTAATGGTTTCTAAAGCACTGAGTAGATTGATTGTCTACTGGCATGGTGTTTGGAACAATGAGAAAAAAGTTAGGTATATTTTAGCTATAACATAATAAAAAATCATAACAAAGAGATAATCTAACCTTTTGTTGAGTAAAAGTATAACCACTTCCTCTCAGCTTCAAAATTGATATCAATGAATCAAGTCCTATAGTCTCTCTAAGCAGTACCTAAATGATACATAGTTGAAATCAATACCGGGGATAAGATCTTATAGCAAACATAACACAGTCAACAGACCTGATTGGATGCATTACTACGAAGCAAGTTGTTCAACAATTCAAGACAGTCCTGCACACTAACATGAGTCAGTCTCTACAACAAGAAAAATATTTTAAGGTCTACACTGCTCAGAAAATATGATTTAAATATGAAAGCTTAGGTCAACAATAATAAAAAAAAATTTCAATTCCCAGTGTAAACCAACAAAATAACACAATATAAACGTGGGTAAATGCAGAATAAAATGACTATGAGCATGCACACATGCATACTGATTCATAACATAAATAAATGGACAACAACAAAACTAGAGTCTAGAATCCATGAATATGCAAGGATCTTGACCACCAAGCCCAAATTGAAAATACAAACTCAACGTGACTTTTCTTCTCCCCTCCCTACCAATATATAACAGACTCCAATATCCTTTTTCTCTCAGTATAACTAACTCTCCCCTCCTTCCCTATTTCCCACCTAAGGTGATTCGAACTGGGACTTGTACATTTGGCCTGTAGTAAAGAACCTACGAGACTACCTTTCAATCAACATATACATGTAAAGGTTCACGAACACAGGCAGCTTAAAATTCGCATGGTCCAACTAGACCACAAAGGCTTAATGGATTATGGATTTTAGTTGACCTTGTAAATTTGGGCCATTGATCAAGAACCTATAAAACTATCTTCTCATTTGACATGTGAAAGCAATGAGGGGGAGATTGATGGTAATGTGAAATATGTCCCTACATTCCCAAGAGATGATTTTGATGATGATTCAAGTCAACAACATTCAAGACTCAAGCAAGCCCAAGTTATGACTTGATAAAGATTCTATTCAAGATTTAAGCAAGCCCAAGATGATTCCTGAAGACTAGATAGAGTCTTAGAATACTGGATATGGAGGTACAAGTTGATGAAGTAATATTATGCATAAGCTTCCAAAACACAAGTGTGATAAAATTTCATAACATGACATTTTTCATTGTCATAATTGATTATGATGCATCAAAATTGAGAAATTGATTTTTACCCCGACATAATCGATTATGCTAAGGAGATAATCGATTATCTGTTTTGAAGAATAAATGTTTTTGAATATATCTTGATTTTTATCCACGAAAATATTAATGTCCAACGACCATTTTCTGATGCTATTTTTCTATTTAATTAAGTTTTGATGAAAAATCAAAGATACACAATTACAGAATTCGAAAATACAATTTACATTTAATCAGTTTTATTTTACATATTTTGAGAAAATCCTCTTCTCCATTATCACAGAGATATTTTACCAAAATCTTCTTCTCCATTGCCTATTGTGCTTTCATTTTTAATCACACTTGTTCTTGGAGGTTGACATTCTACAGACTTCTACAATTTGTTGTCTTCATTACCCAGATGTGACTGTTCTTATTTTATTACCTTCATTCTTTGTGGGCTTAAGTGGTTGATTGTTAAATTCCCTGTTTAGGGTTTAAGTAGTCACTGTCATTCGGTTGTATTTTTTTAGGGTTTGCTGTGTGGAAATTGTTCATCCCTTTGATTTGTTCAGAGAGGTGTTTTCATCCTTTGATTTGTTCAGAGGAGGTGTTCATCCCTAGTGGGATTCTAGGGAGGTGTTCATCCTTAGTGGGATTCTAAGGAGGTGTGTTCATCATTTGATTTGTTCAGAGGATGTGTTCATCCCTAGTGGGATTCTAGAGAGGTGTTCATCTTTAGTAGATTTCTAAAGAGGTGTTTGTCTTTTGAATTAGTTTGCTTTTTACTGGTTCCTCTGCTGAGTTGATTGTAATTTGTAAACTGAATTTAAAAGATAGTGAACTGGGGTCACTCTTGTGTTAAGAGTTGACTGAGAATTGGATGTAGCGTTGGCTATACCCAAACTAGTATAAATTACTGTGTTTTTCTCTTCCTTATACCTCTGTGATAACATCAACTTATTTCCTTCCCCTTATCTCTCTGATTATATCGCTTCCGCTATATCTCGTTCAATTTGATAATTAAAAATGAATTAATAAATATTAGACATCTTAAAATAAATCTTTAATTTGACATTTATTTGATTTGTGCATCTATTCATCCCCTCTAGATGCCATTTGTCTAACAAGTGGTATCAGAGCTTGGTCAGATAAGATATTTCTAAACGATCTGTGAAGATGTCTATACAGAATCAGGTTTACAGGGAAGGAACCTCAATAAACAGACCACCATTATTCTATTGTGTCTAATTATGTTTGTCACTCTTTGGGTAAACACTACAACATTTTTGCTACTCAACAATCGCATCAATCTCCAAACATTTTTGCTCTACTGAAATCACCATGACCTATGAGCATTTCAACTCTCCTACAACCACTGTGTTCTCCGAGCATGTTTGCTCTCTGATAGTCATCATTATATCATTTCTTTCTCACCAGCATTCAAACATTTTATGCTCATGGCAACCACCATGCTCTCAATTTTTTTCTTTTTTCCATAAGTTGTCGCATCCTTAGAGCATTTTTGCTCTTCAGTAGTCATTATACCCTCTACCACTCTTTTGTAGCCATTGTGTCCTATGACCTCTAACACAACCCTGTGAATGAATTGCCCTTCTCCAGCATCCACTACATTGCCTGACTCATGGCCAACCGCCGCCATGTGCTACAAAAGTTCAGCACTTCCTCTTTCTGCACCAAATCAATTATGAAGCTTTGTCATACAACTCCAACAATTGATTGGCTGACATGTTCACTAATTCTCTCAAGAGAGGTCTTGCATTGCTGACAATTGTAACAAAGTTGACTCATAATAAAGGTGCTCCTTGAATACATTGGAAAGCTTCCTTTAATAGAGTAGACATTTCAAAAGGGAGTTAGACTTGTTGGCTTTATTTATAGCTGTTCTAGTACCTTGAGTTCATTGAGAATTCACAAAAAAGAGGGAATTGGTAAGGCATACAATGATACAACTACAAGATATGCTACCTTGTATTTATCATTAGACTAGCTTCATTAAAAGAAAAGAAAATATAAGAAAGATATTTACTTCTGATGAAGTGAACAAGATCAAGTTGTCTAAGGAAACTAAGGGAGGAAAGCATCAAAAGTTGTTCTTATACTTTCATTTGGAATCAAGTAGATTTTACTCTCAAAGTCATAGCTCCTCTTGTCCGTGTACTTCGTCTTGTAAATGAGGAAGAAAAGCATATGAGGACTTTCAATAACAATGAAAGTAAATATAAGGATGCATTTACAATCATTGATAATAGAAGAGCTTGTCAACTTCATCTCCAATCTATTGCATGCAACAGGCCACTTTTTAAACCTAAAGTTCTTTTATTCTAACTAAGAATGTGATTTGGAAGTATTGGAGATCCCACATCTATTAGAGATAGAGCCAAATCACAATATATAATTTAAGTGCAAACCTTACCTTACAAGCCGATTTTTTAAAATTGAGGAGGTAACTAATGGGTTGTATGTTTGCATTAAGAGGTTGGTGTCAAGTAAAGATGTACAACAAAAAATTTAATCTGAGGTGCCAAGTAAAGATGTACAACACAGGCAGCTTAAAATTCTACCATTTATGATATCACTCTTAATTGGATAACTATTTATGAAGCTTCAAGTGCTAGAGAGCCAAGAATTTATACAGGGACAAAAGTAAGCAATAAAACAAAGGAATTATCAACTGGTGGTACTGTTATTGGATATTCTCATGTTTCCAGTAAATTAATAGGTGCAACTTTAGCCTCAACAAAAAAGAGGGACAAAGAAGATTCAATTTAAAGTCGACGATTGGAATATGATAGCTCTAACTCTGAGTTTGAAGAAAATGAAGAATTATTTAACTTTGACAAGTCTTTCTCTGAAGGGGAAAGGGAGGACGAACATGCCCTATTTGATAACATTGAAGATGTTGGGATTGAGGAAGAGCTAGATGATTAGAAATTTAGAACATTTATCTCATGTTTTGTTATTATTTTAAGTCTTGAACTTGAATTGGGTGATGTGTTGCTTTGATTTAATTGTTATTTGAAATTCTAAACTTGCTATTATTATTAATTATACGGTTGTATTTTCATTATTTTTTTGCATTTCAATTTTATTTATGCATTTTTTTATTTTATCCAAATGTATAAATTGTCCAAGATATTTCTGTCATAACTTGATATCGTATCTGATATATTCTTGTAAAAGATTTTTGGATTACCAATATTTTCCGTTATCCTATATCAATAACATTGATTACAAGTAATCCTTTCAATAATGTGCAAGCTATCACCTGTACAACCACACCACCATCAGAAACTCCCTCCTCTTTAATGATACCGAAAATCTTCTCAAATGCACCTTCGAACACAACAATTTTTTGAATCTCCTGTACAAAGAGGAATTAATAGATTATAGTTAACTTTAGCACCCAATAAAAAGAATCTACATAATAGAAATTGAAGGGAGTCACCATTATTACCTCAGCTTCACGGGTAAGGTGAGTAAGAAGTAACAATGCTTCATTCCTTATTACCTGTATGGTGGATAAACCTTAATCATATTTTGCGTCAATAACAGCAAAGTAACATCATTCTCAAACACAATTTGCAGATTCCAAGCTTTTGCCCAAAACGAGGGTACCAATAAGCAAAAGATATCATAATATTTCCAATGATAAACATTAAAGATTCTGAACAATTAGATTGTCCCCAAACAATTATTAAAGTTTAATAATCCAACAAAAGTGCCACCTTTAAACAGGTAATTTTCTGCATACATAAAAAATGAAATTTAATAAGGTTACTGCAAGTCCAAGATTATTGAATTTCAAGTTTTGTACCTCACGATCCATAAGCATGTCCATTAGCCGAGTGATACCACGAGGAATGGTCAATATAGCTTCCTGTAACCTGAAGTGGAACTTAGCAATTCTGCTTTCCAAGATACTTTAAATGAAAATGGAAGCAATAAAACTAATACCGCTGTGGAGAATTAGTGAGAAGGGCAGTTAATAGTTGCAGAGTGTAATATCGTACGTAAAAATCATCCTCTGTCTGGGAAAGTACACAGAAAAAAAAAACTAAGTAAATATTATTAGATATATGCATTAAGTAAAAAAAAAAACTAACAAATTGAGTATACTTTTCATTATCTTAATTAAGAAGTTTCTTACCAGCAAACTTAGAAGAAGAGAGATACTTTCCGCTTCTCTGGAAAGCAAATCAGTGTTCATCAAAGCTGACTGAACTTCATTGCTTGATACTTTTGCATGACTGATAGAAGTCAACGCACTTACAAGAGTTTCCAGGGCACCACGGACCTGCATCGTTATAATAGTTGTTTAACTAATTGTTGGTAGTTACATTATAAACAAACAGGCATACCTCTTAGGGGAGGAATCCATACAAAAAAACCATGACAATTGAAAGAAAAAAAAAGGGTAATTGCACCAAGGTTGAACTAATTAACTATTTTCACTCTACAACCATACCAAAAGCCTCAATCTAACCGAGCCTAATCCATTAAATAAATGGGATTAACAAAACCAACACATAATTGTCCAATGTGAGAAAATGCAAAAAAAAAAGTTTTCTAAATGTCATTCAGTTTTTTTCCACTCGGCAGAATGATTGTTTTAAAACAAGAATTGTTACAAAGAAAATAAATATCAACAACTAGTTTCAAGAGAAAAATTAAAACAACACAAATTCCTAGGGGACATTAAATTAGGGATGTCAAAATAAACTTAATTTGATGAACCAACCCGAAAAGACTGGAGAAATAGGTAAGTGAAAAAATTTGTGACCTAAATTAAATCAGATTTATTTTTGTCATAACCTATATGGGCTTAGATTAGACTAACATGTAAGCTTATAAACTAACTCATTTTATAGAATAATAATTATTTTTAAAATAAAAAAAATAATATTATTTTATTTGAAAATATATATGTATTATAAATTAATTTAATAACGAATTCACTTATTCTAAGAGTAGATATAAAAGTAAGGTTTTAAATTATTATTTTAGATCAATAAGTTACTAAAAATTGAAAGATGGTGATGACAATGAAGAGTAAGTTTTTAAGTCTTATGTTGAGACTAAATGGATCCATTTTTTTAATTTATATATTAAATCATTATATCTAAAATAAAAATTAATTTAAATAATATAATTTAAATTTTAAAAATATATTTTTATTTCATTTAAATAATTTTTAATTAATTATATTGATATAAACACATTAGTAATTTTTTTTTTTTTAATCAAACCAAAATTGGAACATTAGCCCATTAACCTAATACAAAGTCAAACTAAGCCAAAATTCATAGTTGTTTTAAATTATAGGTTAAATTGAGTCATCAATTTTTTTTTATTTGGCCAACCAAGACTCGTTTTGACAACCCTATATCAAACTAAGCTAACCATTTACTTAACTACTTGGAAAGATAAAAACATTAAAAGCTCCTATTTAACACTCCCATTCATGTTGAATAGACCTACACAATCACAATATTGAATTCATAGCAACAACAAGTTTGATAGATTGAATAAACCTACATAGCCAACGAACTCAAGAAAAAGAAAACACATAAGATAGATAAGGCAACTACCATTCAGAATCATTAACACATTGAAGAAACCCAATCCAATACACTTAAAGCAAATGCAACATGAGTATAACGAAAATGAAATTGACAATGCATAACAAATAACAAATTCTACATATTTATCATACCTAAAATGCTAGATAAGTTACAATTGGCACAACAAGCAAAAGGGCGCAAGCAATGAGGGAACATGTTTTACAAGAGGGAAGTATTTAAGTAATTACATGAAGTACGAAGAAGTAGAAGAACTACTATAAGAAGTGTGAGGAGGAGAAAAGAGATGTAACGAAGGAGTCATATCGACTGGAGGCATGCAAAAGGTTGTAATGATTAGACATTGTCTTTCCAATGTCGTGTCACAAAACTTCATCATCTCACCTAGAGCCACATCAACCATCAAAACACTCTCCCACGTATATATTAAATGTTGATAACATTTTATCATTTTGGATTCATTTACGTCATCTATCATTATTTGTGTGTGTATATATGTTAGTCTTTGATGGATTTGAGAAGACAAATTTTTTTACTTGGACAATAAACCAGCCTCATTCAATGTAATTAATTAGTCTTCAACTTATTAGAGTATGTACTATTAGAGTGGGGTCACTTGGTATAAAACCGACCTTATTTTATGTAATTTATTAGTCTTTTCAACTTCAACTTAAGATAGGGAGGTTGTGTATTTTTAGAAATGAGGTGGTTTAGTATAAAGACCGACCCTTGTAAAGTCCCTCAGTTTAAGACTAGATTGTAACATTGAACACAATTAGGTGCACCGATAAAAGATTGTCCTATCTCAAGGCTCGGTGAATGCCTGATTTAGACCTTAACTGGATGTAAGAGCTTGATTGGTTGGTTTAGCTTCTAATATGAAGCATGAATGACAAGGCATTAAGGTCGAGAATCATGGACACATTAACCAAAAATTGCTCTTGGCATGCGCCTAAGTTATCAAGAAACTACAGTTACACGATACACAAGTAAACATGAAGAGTTAAGGACCACAATCACCAAAACACCTTGGCACACATTGACCATTATGGTTGAGGGATCATGAAAATCAACTAGTGAGTCTATAAATATACCCCAGGTCCCAAATTTATTCATTAAATACTCATTGAATGCTCTAGTTGAGGGTTTTCCTTTTGCTAGAACAACAATACTTAAATACACCAAGTACAGGCACTTGAGTTTTTAACACTTAATCAAAGAAAAAACAGAGCAAAAAACCCCTGAAAAAAATCACCGAAAGGCAAGGAAATGGATTTTAGCATAGTGAATTAGATTATGAACTTAATAATGGAACCATTGATCAATGTTCACTTGCATGGTTTTTCATTTAGTAACTTTCAAATAACTAGATTATCAAAAACCTTGATTAATGCATACAAAATATCAAAAGGCTACGTCAAAAAGGAAGATAGTTTTGTCACCATCTCAACATCATCTCGTTCTTCCCTTAAGACACTTAGCAATACAGGAAAGCCTGCAAAGATGTATTAAACATGTTTAAAAAATGATAAAAAAGAAGATAATTTGTTTGAGATGAGATCTATATACCCATTGCCCCAAATGCTAATTGGGCAGCTTGACTTTCTGATACAATAGCCTGAAGCTCAGTAATAGCATTTCTTCTGTCCTCTGCTAGTTTACCATTGCTTATCCGGTCAAGTAAGCGTTCAACATAACTATTGAGCCAAACCAAATAGCAGGATTATCAAATATAGCATAAGTATAATATAATTCATAATATTTGAGATAACTTCCCGGGTGTATGATATCTAGAAGTTAGATAAAACAATAAATGGTTGAAATAAAATAACCGAAATTCTCTCACTGGAATGACATACAAATATTTAGTGAAGTTGATAAAAATTGATTTTCAATTAAAACTAATTAGCAATAATATACTGCACTATAAGGATTAAATCATTGAAGAAAACTAAAGGGTATACAATATGCAAATAGATGGAAATCAACATGGACTAAAATTGATTTCAAATATATCAACAGGCTAGACAGCAGCAAGGACCAGATTAAGTTTTTTCTAAGAACACATTGCTAATCATTCATATTTCAGATTTAGAAGACCGTTAGCACTCCTAAGTCCCGTGAAGCAAAATAGCAAATCCATCAAATACAAGGCCAATCTAATATAGATTATTGAGCAGTAATATCTTATTCTAAAGTGCTAAAGTGTATACCAATAAAGTCACTCTTCAATGAATACTTATTTTCTAGAAATTATTTTGCATGTATAGTACATTCAACCTACTTTAACCATGATCCTAGAGTATAAGAATGAGCAAAGAGGTATAGGAATAATAGAGTGGTAATTTTGAGATCAAAGTACACAGATGTTCTTAATCATGCACAAACATGCGCTAAATCCACGTATTTTTTTTGTAACGATTTTGGAAAATACTTTGATGATAAGAAGGGTCATATTATTGTGCTTGTTAGCAACTTTGTAACAACAGCCTAAAGATTTCAGCCAACATAAATTTTGAACAATGCAAGTTCCATTTATTGGGGTACAACACATCAACTTTAGTTAAGTGACTAAATCCAGAAACACCTTATATAAATAATTTATCAACAGAAAAGGAGAATATTCCCCAGTAACCTGTATAATATAGAATCTGTTGCAAAATGGACAAAATTAAACTGAGGGCAAAATAGAGACAAGGAATGAAAGAACGAAATGAACCCTAGACTATCTTCAACTATAGCTCTAGGTCAAATAGGAGGCTTCCAAAGAATCAGGAAGGAGTGTACAGGTAGAACATAGCAAACAAATAGAATGAACCTCAATAACTTTAAAACCATTTACCTATCCTCACTTGAAGAATTCTCATTCCCAAAAACAAGCCCAAAAACGCCCTGCACCAGAAAAAAGAAATTTATTTACACATGCGCAAAAACACGGACAAAATAAAATTAGCGTATAACCATATAAATTATTCACTACCAAACGCAAGCATTGATATTAATATCTTAAACTACCCATTTCTTAATTAATTTCGGAAACACGAATAACTGAGGGAAACCACAACCAAATGTTAGTACTAAAACCATCACAAAATATTCTTCATTTAACAATAAGCCCGGCATTGAAATCTTCCAAAAATTCACGAGACACCGAACCATTTCAGAAACTAGTTCGGCTTAATATATTATCTAAAAATTAAGCATTGACGAGCAGTAATTGTAAAGGCTACATCCAATAAGAGTTTAATTACACATCCGCGCAAAAAGAGACACAACAAAGAAGGCAGAAATTTACCTTGTAACTAGACACCAAATCCATTTGCAATGATCACAGAGTGCTCCAGACTCTTTCAAATGAGAGGGAGGGGGTAATCAATCAATCCAATTTAATTCACAAATTAATTACGGAAAAGAAAATCATGATCGAAGCATGAAAGTAGAAGATTGAGAGATTTTAAGTCGCGAGAACTCTGGAAGGAGATATTCGCGGGGAATAGGTTCGTGATTGTTGGTAAGGGTGAACGTTGAGGGAAGTCGGAGATTATTAGAACAAAAGCGATCCTGGGAATTCGAAGATCGAAGAGCTTGGTCTCCGAAACGAAGTGCTGCTTAACAACAAACACTCACGGAAGTGCGAGAATGAGAGAGGGGGAGAGAGTCTTGTCTTATGACTGATTAGCATGCTGAATAAGCATTGCCTTGCAATTATGGGTGGATGAAATTAAATAAACGGTTGAGATTAAAGTTTCAAGTTTTTATTTACTATTTAAATAAATAAAACTGTCTACTTTAAATAAATTAAAAATTATAAAGTATTTCATAAAATTTAAAATATTAAAAACTCCAAAAATATGTTAAGATGTAGTATTAAAATATTAAATAACATATATTCTCTTCTGGACGGTTAAACTTACATGGGAGTTGTTGATTATTTTAAAAAAACTATAAGTGTTGAGAATCTCGGGATACAATTTTTATCCCTTTGAAATATTAAATTTAATTTAAAATTTTTTTAAAAAGTTGTTAAGAACTATGAAAAATAAATTTTTATATATTTTTACTTTCTTTAGTTTTAAAATATTTCACTTTTATTTAAATGGATAGTTTAGAAAGATAAATTTGGTTTGAAGGAATAAAAATCAAACAAAACGTTTTAGAGTGACTAAAATCAAATTATTAAAATGTTCTATCCACCATTTTAATACTATGTCAAATTTAAATAATTAATTTTTTTTAATTTCGTAAATTTTATTTTTAAAATTTTTTTAGTTTAGTTATTTATTTAAAGAAGTCAAGAGAAGTAGATGTTTTTTTTTTAATTTATAAGAAATTATAGATTTGAACTTAAATAGGAGGAGTATAATTTATCGTTATTTTTTTCAGACACCTTTAAATCTAACATTAGTTTCATCTCATAGTTGAGAAAATTGGCATGAGACAATCTAGTTGGTAATGTGGGTTGAATAATTCTTTGACACTTGATTTACCATTTTTTTTTTTTTTGATAAATTAACATGAACATTTCATTCATTAATAAAAGTGTGTTATACTAAAATTTTATTAAGATAGAATAAAAACACTTAGAGACTTAAACAAAATTCACGAGTAACATTAAATAAATATATATATTTATCTAACTCTTATTTAGTTCCTCATTCTCACGATAAAGTATTTTATTAAATGAATTTAAACTCACCGAGTGATTGTTATCTTCATTTAAAGAGTTAAAGAAATCATCTAAAAGTTAATATTTATAATTTTCAAGTCTCTTGTATGTTAATTCCTGAAAGAATCTATTTTGTTAGTTATCAAGTCAAAAAAACTTTGTTTCAAGCTACAAACCAAATATATATGATTGTGTGAGGTCAAAATACTTTAGGTATAAGAATTGTCATTTTTTTTCATGATATGTCTCAAATTAGATATGTCCCAATGTCTTTCATTGAGATTACCCAACTTTAAAGGATTGAAATTTGAGTTAATTTGGATATTATTAATCACGATGGGAACAAAACTCAGGTAGATCAAATGATGTAGAGAGCTCAAGTTCACTATGAAAGTGTAACCTCAACTTTTAGATAGAATTAACAGAACAACTACCATCTCAGCATGAAATGGTCCATTTCATCTATATTTTAAAACAAGACGTTATTTTTTTTATATAAATGCTATTTAGATATTAATTATTGTCTAGTTATTCCCTTAATTGACTTAAACGTCAAAGTGAATAATTAGTTCGCAAAACATATAATTCTTTGTACGTCAAAATAATTCTTTTAACTTAGTGAATTTATATTAAATTTCATATTGCATACCAAAATTAAATAGATATAAACACACCATTAGTTGTGGTATGCTCTATCTCTTTTGCAAGTAATATCCAAGATATTTTCTTCCTTGAGATAATAATTTGATTTTCTATCACAAGATTGATTAAGTTATACACACATAAAATATATAAATATAGTTAAAATAGAGAAAATAGTCTACCCTTACAAGAAAATGATAAATTACCATTGAATATCTCCCATATATTTATTTTCATGGGTAATTATAGAATTTACACAAATTTATTTTATGAAAAACTTAAATAATTGTAGATAATTTGACACTTAAGTGGGAACATATATTTATGGGAAAATGTTTGTAGATAATAATCTAAGATTTTTCATGGATATTATAGTTTAATGGAAAATATAAAATAGGTGGGAAAATATAATAGGAAATGGAAAATGTTCATGGTGATATAATATAACATTTTTTCACATATATCAATTCGGTGGGAAATGTATAAAGAAGAAAAAGATTATAGATAAATTATTAAAATAATAAACTGATTAAAATACTAAATTTATAATTTTTTGAAAAAAAAATTGAGAAATAATTTATTAATTTTTAAAATATAAAAACAAAAATTAATTTTGAGAAAAAAAAATCGAAGAGCTAAAAAGTATTTAACCCTAAAAATAATCTTACATGTCGAGTTCGCATAGGGCATACCTTCTAAGAAGCCCATGTAGACTCAAAAGCCGAGAGCCGAGGACACTGTCATGCATTTCAGGTTTTAAGCAACAGAAATATGTTACTCCTGTTCCATTCGACTCAGTTTTTTGTCGTGTAGTTTGAAGATGATGTGCTCAACAGCTTTTAAAACTTTCCACTTGCTAACCATGTGATTGTGATTATACTGGTAAAGCCACAAAATCTGCACACCTGATTCTGTGCTACTAAAGCTTTCTTTAGTGCCATTTTATACAGCAATCGAATTAGCTCTGTGAAAAAAAAAACATAATTAGAAAAATAATTATATTAAGCATGATCATTCTTTGATCGATATTAATTCTTAAAATTCTATATATTTAGTGTTAGAAAGAAAATCCATGCCTTATATCATCTGATTAAAACCCCAACTTTAGTGTTAAAAAAGAAGACACGCGTTACAACTTAACTATAAATATTATACACACGTGTGGTAAATTTCTACGTATCTTCTGCACTGAACAAAAAGGAAATACTTAACAAAAAAGTGTATCTTAAGCAAAAAGAAACATGTAATTTATAACAATGAGATTTGAGAAATTACCTTAAGGGCGAAGCTCCGTCAGGCTAACACTCAAAGTGAAAAGAATAAAGAAGGGAATAAATTATGAGAATAAAGTGCTTATATTCTCATTTTTTTGGGTCTTAAAACAAATGGAGATATTTATTGTTGTTGTCCCATAACTACAAAATTACTTGTTAAAAGAGTTCTCAATGCATCATAGATCACCCAAAAACAATTACACCCTCATCATGTCAAACTCAATGGGAAAAGGAAGTAAAAAAAATCAAGCTTAATTAGGGGCGAAGAAAAAGAATGAAAATTTGAGAAGCGTAACTTTAGGAAGCTTCACGAAAGGAAGCAGTTAATCAATGTCACACTCCCAGCAAGACTATTGGTGTATGTTTGCACCTTTTGATGAAAAATATTCTCTCTTCGCGTTGTTTCCTTCAATGTATGGTAGATTTATTCCTCAATTTGGTGCAGTGTGTACCTTTTCTACCTTTCTCCACGTTAATTATGCTACTAGTAGCTGTAGTGCCTTTTTTCCTTGAGCAGGATGAAACACTTTTTCCAACCCAATACTTATTTTTTTTCCTCATTCTACTACCACAACACGACCATGTATTAATTATCTAAAAGAGGCAATGGGTGCATTCAAGTTTAGTTTTTTACCATTAATATACGAATATACATCAATTAGCTTGGCTTCATGATAGTGGGGTTCATATGATATAATGGTTGTTGATTTACAGAGTTGAAACATCAACATCCGTGCTTTACCAATACAACATCTACAAGTAACATAATATTATCATCTTCCAAATTTTGTTCTCTTTCTTTTATTGTGCCACCTGAAAAGAGAACATGGATGAAGAACCCTGTGGGAACATCCAACAGTAAAAATGAAAAAAAATAAAAATACAAAAAATAAGAAGAACAAAGATCTATTCACCCTGTCAGTTGTGGGTTGTTCTTGTCATAATCAAACCAGTTAAGTACCAGAATTATCTTAGTAATTAATTAACCAAGCTAGGTGTGCTTGATGGTCTCTCCCTTATTCTAAAAAGCATAACAAAGGGAGATGAAAGGGTTGAGCTTTTGTGTACTTGAACCAACCAAATCAGGCTTCAATTTCATGCACCATTTTCCTGCATTTCCCTCTTCCTCTTCAATGACTCTTGCTTCTGCAACACCATTTGCCTACGGAACTTCCTGATGAAAAGGTCTGCCGCAAAGTCAATCTCATCCTCCAGTTTAAACTCTTTCCCTTCTTCTTCCTTTGAATTCTTCACCAAGTCAATCACTGACCTTCCAAGATCCAAATCCTCAGACTCAAAAAGGGAGTGTGTGAGATCCGGGTACTTGTCATCATCATCATCATCATAGTTGTAGTAACCTTCATAGTCATCTTGGTCTTGCTCCTCAACCACTAGGGTTTCACAGGGGTTTGGCAAGGCCTCATAGGAGTGTGAATTGTTGTACAACACTATGGCCTTGCTTTGGTCATTGCCATCTTCCAATAAGCAATCATCCTTGGACTGAGAACTGTGCCCCCATACAGAATGGAACTTCTCAGAGAGGGAACTCATCAACAACTTCTTGTTCTTCATCAACGAGAATATGATCAAACGAGCCCTTATGGCGTTTGTTTTGGACTTCAAGGCCATGGTTTTTGACTTGGCCATTGAGCTCAGATTTGATATGATCTGCTTAAGCAACCCTGATGTTCTGTTCTTCATGCTGCCCTTTGTGAAAATAGTCACTAACGAGTAACAAATAATGAAGTAACAAACCAACAATAGCAAAAGGAATAAAAACTCTATGGACTAAGAACAGAATACCCAATGAGGTAAATGAACCAAATCAAAGTAGGAAACTAGAAATGAAGGTGTGTTTGTGATTTTTGAGAGGGAGGGAGATGGTGTGAAGAGATTTTTTGTTGTTGGTGTACAAACTCGTACGTTAATAACGCAAAAGAGGTGTTTTGGGACGAAAGAGTACAAGATGGGTACACGGGTTTATATAGGCGATGATGTTGAACGAGTGCAAATAGTGATGCTAGCTGTTTATCGTGTGATGGAATTAATAAACTAGAGAAAGAGTGAGGGTTAAGAAAAGAAAAAGGCTGCAAAAGAGAAATAGATTAAAGTGAGGGACACATGGCGTATGGTGATAGGGTGTGTGAGCTATGGCTGGTTCAGTAGTATACGAAGCTGTACCTTCGGTGTGCAGAAATTATTAGTGGGGGTTTGGTTCGGGAGTGTGGAGTTTCTCCTTTTTACTAATGCCATGGTTTTAGATTTGATTTCTCTAATTGTGTAGAAGAAGAGTATATATATTCAATCATCACTTTCATGTTTGTTGGAGGAATATTTCAAAAAAATGTTAATTAATTCTATAGATTTAAAGGAAATAGATTTTGAAAATAATCAATTTAATAAAAGTTTATTGTAAAATATGAATTTAAAATTGTTAACTAATAAAAATATACAAATACGTAAAATATGAAAACCCACTTGATGGAGGTATTCAATGAAAGGCTAGAATACCTCGAAATCTAAATCAAAGTATGCATGCTTTTGTAGCTTAATCGTTTTCAATTCGCCCCTTTCAATTATTTGACCACTTTTATGGTGGGGCTTTTGATGAACTGAAATTTGGGACATAGGAAAACTAACCTAACCCCACCAGATAGTAATGTAAAACGATTTTAAGATATTAAGTGATGAGTGTTTTTTATCTAAACTTTGTTATTTTTACTTAACGATGTGATTTTAACTTAATTCAAAATTTATTACTTTTGATAAATGAAATGGGGGTGGTACCACTGACATTGTATCAGGGATATAATCTAATGTTTCTTAGTGCGGTGTTCTTCATCTCATCTTCAAATTCTATAAAAACACCAGAAAGGGTTTTTGGGCCACGAGTTACGACAGTAACGGACTTCAAGATATTGATTGAATATTTAACGATTATATCACGTATTTGAAAACTTAGCCCCTAAGATTGCATCCAACGGCTTCACGTTTTCCGTTTGGATCTACGACACTTTCTGTGTTTTCTTTAAATAGAAATAAAATAAAGAAGATTAAATTAAGATGTTCATCTACAAACGGCTATGATTGGATGCACAGATTCCAGAAGCATGTCCCAGGAACGAAATGAGTCAGAAAAAAAAAATCGTGAATTTGATTTTTTTTTTTTTACTTTATCCTTTTGCCTCGTAAACCTTATGATGATTTATTTAGGTTAGATCAGAACGTAAATTATTTTGCTAAATAATAAATTATATTTTAAAAACAAAATAACATTGTTTTATTAAAAATATAATGATAACAAATTATATATCAAATTATTATATTTAAAATTAAAATTATTTTACTTAATATAATTTAAATTTAAAAATAATTATTTTAATTTAAATTTTTTAAAAGAAAAAAATGATAATCTATTTGAGATATAGATTGGACGGGTTATATTTTTATGATTTGGTCTTCTAGACTCGACAATCCATTTTTGACACATCTAATCCTTTTATTTATCAATATTTCTTTATTTAAGATATTATATAAAAAAATTTAAAGTTTTTTGTTTTTTTTCTATCTAATAACCATATTAATATTGTTAAGTTTGGTTTTATACAAAGTATAAGAATTAAAGTGTACAAAATTTGAATGGATAAACTTAATCGTGGATTTTTTTTTTTATACATAGAAACAGAAAGAGTAAATGGAAAATTATATAAAAAATTATTAAGATTGATTATGTTTCTAATGTCAATAAATTTGTATATACTCAACCTAAAAATATCAAAATAGGACTAATGATAAATATTTTAATTTATTCGATATATTCATATAAGGTAATTTTTCATTAATGAAATTATATAGGATCGTCGTCGCCGTCCCTTTCCGACGTCCGGGACGTCTCGAAACGTTTATGCGAGCGGTCGCGAAAAGATGGTTTAGACTCGCGTTATTGTTTTAAAAGGTTTTCGAAAATGGGTTCTTATGGAGTCGCCACCAATGTTTTGACCATAAACATTGGAAAAGGAAAAAATGTTGATTTTAAGAAAAACCGCACTTGGCCATTATAACCAGGAGTTGGGTAAGGGAGTTAGTTACGTGTGGGGAAGGTGTTAGCACCTCACAACGCCCTTTCGGGTTCCCTATGACAGATTAATTCATTTAAATAAAGACTACGAGAAATTACGCGATTACCCTATTTTATTACATAATATTAAATGGCTATCTACATGATTTTATTCTATGTTGCATGCATAAAATGATGAATAAAGTTAAATAAAGCAATAAAAGAGATATTAAAATAGCTATCTACATGATCCTATTCTACATGACATAATAAAGCTAAATAAAACAATAAAACAATAAATAAAACTATAAAAGAGAAGGGAATTGAAAAGAACCTCCAGTAGCAAGCTTTATATTGAGAATCTCGAACCGTGAGGATGCGTTTTGGCAACCCCTCTCTCTACACAGTCTCTCCTCACCAATACAAGATCGACTCCACTAAAAATTTAAAGAAGAATCGAATGCCGGAATATAATTCCTTAACCGATTGTTACCTCTTTAAGGCAATCGGAAAGATCATTCGAGAGAAGGAGAGAAGTAGACAAGTGCTCTAAAGTGTTTCAGAGCTCTCTGGAGTGTCTGTGGTGTAAAAATGAGCAAATGAGGCTCCTATTTATAGTTTTTCGCAGCTGGCGCACTTTGGGACGGCCGTCTGGGTCGGGACGGCCGTCTGGACTGGGATGGCCGTCCCAAATGGCAAATTTACACAGAGCGGGACCCCCAAGAAGGCCGGGACGGCCGTCCCACTTAAAATGGGTTTGGGACGGCCGTCCCAACTTTGGGACGCGCGTCCCAACTGGATTTAAGGGGTTGGGACGGCCGTCCCAACCGGGACGGCCGTCTCAACCTCGTTCCGCCGGTTCGCGCGTTTCGGGACTTCGGAAAGCTTTCCTTGCCTGTTTTGGACGTCAGTTGATGCCGATATGTGTCCGTTGAAGCTTTATCTTCATGTAGGAAGTCTTCTTGGCCTTTATTTGAAATGTCGGGCGAGTTTTATCTCTGTATAGGAAGTCTTCTTTGTCCTTTATCGTGTGAATGAGTGAACTCCGTGTTTGTTGCGGGAGGTCTTTCTCGGTTTTTCTTTGATATGAAGCCGGGTGAACTGTATGAAGTTTCCCTAGCTTTTATTTTGAGAGGCCGGGCAAAATTAGGGGTCTACAAGGGCTTAGACAAATATCATTTAATTCTTATGAGTTATGAGTTATACTTATCTATAAAAAGTTATTTGTTTCTTTTTATACTCGTTTATTCTACTCTTTGCAAAATCACATAAGCATTGAAAAGTCTTTTACAACACTATGTCTTTATCTAATATTTACTTAGAAATATCAAATCCAACTTGGACATCCTCTTAATTTATGTAAGGGTCATAGGAAAGATAAGTGTATATAAACTATACTAGAACATAATTCTCCCTCTTAATCTAGGTAAGAACATTTTATACTAATCGTGTCAATAACTCTGTTATAAAAGAGAAAAATGTATATAAATTATCTTTAGTCTCAACTCATAAACGATATGAGATTCATGTTTGTTATGATAACATCATTCTAGTCAATCACTACAAGAAAATAATTAATTACCGATAGATATGTAGTCATCAAAAAATGAGTAATTACAAGTAATTACCGACGGATATATCCATCAATAAATGAATAATTAATTACCGACGGATATATCCGTTGGTAAATTAATAATTTTGATAAATTAACAATTAGTTATCGACGGATATATCGGTAAATATTAAAAATATATAAATATATTTGTATTTATATATTTTATATTTATATATTTACACGGATATATATTTATTTGTATATAAATGAGATTTATTTGTATATAAATGAGATTTATTTGTAAGTTATTATAAAAAAATCATAGTTGCTTAGTGGTTGAAGTGTCAGCCTCCAATTCTAAGGTATTGAGTTTAAATCTTGTTAGCGCTAGCTTAGTGTTAAATTAACAATTAGTTATCGACGGATTTTGTACATCGAAAATTTTATTTTTTCTAAAATTCATTTTTTCTTCACATTTAACTAATTAACTGAATTAATCTAGTTGTGTTTCGATATTTATTTAAAATATTTTTATTATAATCTTAAATAGAAAAAAAATAGTATATAGAAGTCAAATTTAAGTAAGTAACCTTGGTTGTATTTGTTTTCAGTTATAGGTTTTTAAACTTTTTTAGAAAAAAAAATTCAATAAAATAATATGTATGGGTAAATTTATTTAAAAAAATATAAAATAAATTTCTGCTTTTTTAAAAGCAACTTGAAGTTGTTTAAAATTAAATAAATTATTAACAATCACTTTTTTTAACATAAACAAAAATACCCTGTATAAAAATGTTATTTTCATTAGTTGCTCATGTACGAAAATTTTGCATAATCTATTATCATAAAATTATATGATGATTCTAATTAAGTAGGATTTTAGTTTTAAAACAAGTTTAAATTCATGAACTAATATAACATTTGTTCTACTATCAATTTATGATAATAAACATCTATAAATATTTATTATATTAAGCATGATATTAGCTAGTTAACGAATTATAATTATAAGATTTAGAAAATAAGATCTTCTTCGATTGAACTCGATGAACATTGATTATGTGTTAGGATCATTAAGCCCACTGTTAT